CTACTAGGTACAGGGTTGGTAGGTGACGCCATGCTTTTCTTCATCTGAGTGCCCTATTTTTCGAGCTTTAAGTTGCTTGTACTCTTTCCAGGGGGGTCGCCTTTGTTCTGTTTTGTCTGTGGTGCGGTTTGAAGACATGCTGAACGCTGTTATTTCTCGAGTCTTGGCCTGGTTTTGATGGATGTGGGGAAAGTTCACGACTTTGGTGGATACTGTTTTTCTGCAGTTTGGAGCCTTCCAGTTTCTACGTTTTCGAATTGGATGCTGTTATTTCTCAAGGTATAGCATATATGTTTCATTGATTTGGTCAAGGATCACATTGTCTTTTGAACTGCTTGTTTTCTACAGACGTGTTGGAGCCTTCAACTTAATGTTCGGGCCTTGGCTTTGCCGTTAGACAAAGGTTCCCAGGAGGGCCTTCCATGATAGGGAATTCTGATTTAAAATGGCTTGGCTTGGGGGAGCTTGGGGCTGGTGGGGTTCGCGGTTTGTCATTTGGGCTTTTTGCTACACAGGCTTTACCGCTACGCAGGCTTTCCTGTTAGACAGGCTTTGCTGTTCGACAAGGCTTTCAAGGAGGGACTTCGGTGATAGGGAGTTCTGGTTTAAAATGGCTTGGCCCGGCTTGGGGCTGGTGGGGGCGGTAAGCTCTCCAGTCTGCTATAGCTAGTGAGACCTATTATTTGTCGTCACTTGAAGCTGTTTGTTAGGCTGAGTTTCTGCTACATAGTGTTTTGTATTGGCTTATGATGGGTGCTGCTACTGCTGCTGCTGCTGCCGTTACTCGCGCACCTGCTGCTACTGATGGGATAGACGACTGCCGTTTGAATACTCTTGAACTGCCTCGTCACTCTACTTAACCTCCCGTAGAGGTCTGTGATGACAGTGGTGATGAAAGCGATGGTCACAACATCAGTTGTGGGAATGGCATTGCTGGCGCTGAGGAAACGTGGGGGGCCAGGAGGACGGTCATGGTTATAATCTTCACACTCCTTGTGTTGATGGCGGCACGCGATGACCAAAGGTAGAGCAAGCATGGGAACATGATTATAAGACTGACAACTGTGACGAAGCTCCTAGTAATGTGGAGGACTTGCTGCCGGTGATGTTGGTGATGACGTCATGCTGCAAATGATGCGATGCTGTTGAAGATGATGGTTATGACGGGAAAGACAAAATCATAATGATGATGACGATGACAAACATCTTGATAAGCACAGTACATGATTGACGGCAGTGCAGCAATGGCGAGCATAACAAGTATCATGGTAAACAACGAAGAATATGATGATGATGACGATGATGATGATGGTGGTGGTGGTGGAGTTGACGAAGATCGCGATGACGGTTATGATGATGATACGTATATATGAGTACGGATGTACAGGAAGGGAGTGATCATGGTGCAGCTTCTGCTGATGATGGTGACCCAGATAGGATGAGGATGAGGATGATGATGATGATGATGATGGTGATGACGAGTACATTGGCCATGGTGGTGCCATTTGCACCTATCTTTGCTGCAACTGCAGACTCTTCAATGTAAGCCAAAGCCTTAAAGCCCGGAAGCCACACTGCCAGAGTCATCCTCAAGTTGACAGCGTCCTCAGACCTAAACCCTAAACCAAGTCTTGTGGGCCTCATTGGCGATGAGGGACTCTCTCAGTCCTCCCTCTTTTGGCATGGCCAAGTATGGCATGGCCAAGTACTACTCTTTGGGTGTGAAGGAACGAGACTCTTATTACAGCAACCGCTTCTCTCTCTATGTGAGCTGCTCTGTAAACAATTCTTCACCAATAAGAACAGCAATCTCCGTAGTAGGGTTGGCAAGTAAAGGCTCGTGCTCGGGCTTGGCTCAGGACTATCGAAGTTCATGGTGCTAAAGAACTTCAGGGCTAGGAGGCAGCATGCCGTTTCCCCAACTGCCAGGCTCTTCTGCCTCATATCATTAACACCACTTGCTGAATTGCTTTCGGCTGGTGCAAGCTTTGTTGATGTCGCTGAACATGAGGAGCAAGTCTTGCTGTTGACTTGCAGCGACAAACTGCATCTACGGTCGTCAGAAGTAAGGCTAAAAGGGGCCTATGCACTGTCGACCTGAGGTTCGGCAGAAGCTGCAGAAATGCATCTGTTCGCACACGCGTCTCTTGGCAGGGTTCGGGCGGTTCAGGGTCTGACCAGCTTGTTCAGAAAAGAGGAATGGCCGTCTGGTCGTGGGGGACGCCTGCCTCAACTTCAAAGCTACCAGAATTGGCGTGTTGGTTTAGACCATGCAGGCCCTTCACTTTGTCTCGGGGACATGTCACTCGAGATGCGGGGGAGAAAGACGTGGGATTCAGGGCTACGAGCTTGATGCAGCTGTGTAAACACTTCTCTTGCTCTCTCGCGCTCACTCTTGCTCTGTGTCAGGGACCCCTGTTCAGAACAGTCCTCAAATCTTCCTCGTTGAGAACGCCGTAAATCAGAAACCTCTACTTTAATACGTAAATCTGTAAACAGAAGCGCCATCGGGACCGCAGTATATGAAATGTGAGGCTAGTGACACAACACGCCTTGGCGCTCCGGGTGTATGTTCTGGAGTTTCAGACTCAATGGGTAGTCCGACCCAACCTAGGGCATCTAGGACAAACCAGACTCAGCAGTCTTTCTGATGTATGTGACGGGCGATGTCGACAGGCTCAATCGGCCTTGGAGCTCTGTGTATAGGAGACCCCGACCAAACCTGAATTCTCGGATATTTCAGGAGTAATTATAAGATCCTCGAAAAAGCGAAATTGAAACCCTCATAGGGGCTACTGCTGCTACTGCATCGAGAGGGGAACCGTGATCGTGGGAAGGAAGCACGGTATCCGGCACGCCGGTCGGCATGCATGTCATGCATGTAGATGTGTAGAGCAGGCGCCGGCAGGTATCGGTGTGTGTGTGTGTGTGTCTGTGCGTGTGTGTGTGTGTGTGTGTCTGTCGGTCTGTGTGTCTGTGTGCACGCCCTTCTAACTCGATAACTCGATATAGCACGCGTGCCTGTTGTGTGTAGTTTCGTCTACCACGAAGACTTTGTGTATGATCTGTTTTGCTTTCAAGCAAGTACGGCGGCATGTGGCGACTAGTCTTCTGTTCATCTGTCCATACACTCCTTGTCTGCATACCGCCTCCGACTTACAAACCCACTGCCAGCGGTTGTGCTGAATGCACACATACACGTCTACTTGAGCAAAAGCTTGCCTGGCTATGCATGTACAGAATGCATGGGATAAGCCTGCAGGCACACAAGCTACAATCATACAGGAATCCATACATACATGCTCAATTTAAGACCAACGCAACATACATGTAGCGAAGTCACAGCAGCAAAACCGAGCAAACAAACATGCATGCAAAAATATGTGCATACATACGCGTGTACGTACATACATACAAACTTTTAT